TAGGCATTCACTGCCTGTGAAAGTTGCGCTGATAACGTGAAGTTAAACCGACATAAATCCCTGTGTGGGGATGCTCTTGTGGAGGGATAGGAGGGGCTTTTCAGGGCTTAATTTGAGCCCCTGTCTTCACTCACACACATTCAGTACTGTACAGCTCCATCAGTGCTGCTGACACCCGCCCCAGTCCCTGGTACACCAGTGCAGCTGCCTGAAATTACGAATGGCATTTTATAGGGGGGATAATTTGCACCATCAATGGTTCTTCATATGGCTATAACTACACCTATGCCAGCAGTTTACATTATTTGTGATGTACCAGCCCTCCTTCCTGACATTGTTAACTAAGACTAAACATACAGTCAGGTCTTTAAATAAGTCCAACCTATCTGAAAATGCCATTCAAACTGCAGCTTGAACAGCCACACAGGGCGGGCAGAGTTTTAACTAAACCTTAAATTTGTGCTTTTAATTACATTTTCAATTATGTATGTATCATTCTATTGCCATCAAGACCCAGCTCTACTGAAAGGTTCCCTGCTTGAAGTATTTTAGGTGTTTTGGAGAGGTGTGACGCTAACCCCTTCCAAATGACTTGCCATCACTGGCATGGAGTGAAGGCCATGCCTGATTTTTGGTCAAAGTAACTTTCCATTCTGCCTGGCAGCAAGTTTAGAAGCAACCTAAAAGGTAAACTGGTGAAAACCTGCAAATAAGCAAATCAATAATCAGTAGAGATTGGTTTGATCAGGTTAGTAGGTCAGGAATGACCACTCCTTGGTTCTACTGTTGCATCACCTTCAGCCTCACAGTGCTGCTGTGGTGGTGTCAGCCAAGTTCTCTAGTCGTACAGTGCTCTGAGCTGAATCTGTTCTGCGATGGAGAAGAACCTGCAACCCCGCTGATCCACCCTGTAAGACCAAGACCGCGATAATGCCTGCAAAGTTCACATGATCAGAGGCTGGAGAGTAACTGTTATAAGTGATACTTGGGCATCTGTAGGATTTCCTTTGCATTAGCTCTTAGCTCAAATTTACTTAGAGGAGAAAAACACTCACTGCACCCCTGCAGTGTCTGCTAACTGCCAGCCCTGCAAATCCATCCCAGAGTGGGGGAGGCAGGCTGCCACCCCTCTGCCTTGTGTGGCCATGTTAGCAGGAAGGTTGTGCAGCTGAGGAACCGATGGTGCTCACAGAGTTGCCGACACTGCCAGCCCTCCTAAATTGGCCAAGAATGCTGTGATGCAATTTTCTTATTCCTGCACTCATTGTCAGCCTGCAAGCAACCTCTGACTTCAGTGTGTGGCCATCAGTGCTACAGCAACACCAATAGACGTGAGCATAAGCATCCCAGGGGCTGAAATTAGTTAGTCTGACTGTCCCATGCCCACCACTCTTGGGCACAGATTATTTTGATAAATACTTTCACAAGACTTTCTGTACCTTTACAGTACGTGCTTGCAACTGGTGGGCCTGACAGATGTTGCCTGCTCTTCTCTCACTTTGCTTTTCTACAGTATTGCTGAATATTTATTAACTGCAAGCTTATTGACAAGCTCCCATGCACTCTTTCTCGCTGATGCAAAAGTCACAGCACTGTGCTTCCTCGTGAGGCACATACGCTTTCCATAACCTTTCATGGCTTCTGTGGGGGGTCTTTTCACTTTCCTACACACATATAGCTCTGTATGTTACTTTCTTGGTAGGAATGCGCTAATTGTCACACATCTTTCTTTTTTAAATAGATTAATGTCATAATTATCCTCATTTTCTTCCTTCCTGCTACAGGCAATTGCTGGAATGCTTTAGCATTTTTTGAAAAAAAAAAAAAAAAAAAACACCAAACAAAACAACCAACACAAAAAAAAACATCATAAAACAAACCAACCAAAAAACAAAAACCCAGGAAAAAACCCCACAACTTGTCTGGGGAAAGAATTGTTACCACTCCCAAGTCTAGGCCAAAATATCCATTGAGGACGCTAATATTTTTTTTTGTTACTTCAGGTGCATACTTGGGGCTTAACTGGTCATCGTTCCTGATTTTGCAAAGCTCAGCCTTACCCACAGGTATTGCAGTTTAGATGTTTCTTCAGCTTAGCTCTTCTCGGGTTCTCCCAGACTTTTTTTCCCCACTTTGGCTCAGGGACCATTTTTGCTTCTGTTACATACCAGCCCAGCCACAAAGAATAAAAAGAAGAAATTCTGTGTCCCTCTACGCCTGGGATTGTAAGTGGTTCAACAATGCTGACTTTTACTGGTCTGAGCCTCACATTATATGGTTGTGCTCAGGCCCAATTCCACTTCCCGTGGACAGGTACTGTACAGGTGCTATAGGCTTGCATGAGGAAGCTGCCAGAATAAACCTCTGGTGTGCTGGTGTGTCAGGTGTGTCTCAGGAAGAGCACAGAGGACAACTTGGCAAGCAAGAGAAGAGTGGGCAGGTTCGTAGGACCTCCACCAGCTACCTCCTGCTATCCCAAATATTGCCTTTTCCCTTTAGGAAATCTGGAACCATAGAATGGCATCTGTCAAGCCGTAGGCACTTGAGAGTAAGCACCCATCAGAATAACTTACTGTCAAAAACAGGTACAAATTCATTTCATCCCACTTTGTGCCATATGCTGCTGTCAAAACTTCATGAACTGTTTAGGCAGCATGTTGGGACATTTTGACTAACTATGAGCAGAGCTATTTTTTCATAGTTTTGTGTCATTGGCGTTTATAATTGGGTATTTCCCTGAACTTCGTTTGGTCTCTGAACAGATAAGCCTGCAGAAATTAACGCAGCTTTGAAAAGTGGGCACGGGCCAAACCTCTGGATTCACCCATCCCCATTTACTGTCCTGACAATGAACTGGAAATTGCACTGTACCATGTTGTTCAGGGACCAACTTTTCCTTTTATTTTAATGCTAATATTTGAAAGACGGGCTGATTTTTTTTCATGCGATTTGATGAAAACCTTGAATTTTGGATCAGACTGGTAAGCTGAATCTAAATCTCATTTTCTGCTGCTTGAGCCCAGCTGTTTTGTTCTCCTGACAAGAAAATTAGTTAGCACACCCTTCACTATAATAAGTGGGAAACAGACCACAGGATAGGTAAAGAACACATTTGCTGTTTTATTGGTGCCTTGCAGGGCAATAATACTGAAAAAGGGGAATGCAAAAGAAACAAAAAACCAAAAACCAAAAACAAAAACCCAGGACGGTGGCAACCCACATTGTATTTTTTTTAAAGAGTACATCAACTCCTGGTTTTTTTCATTTATTGTGGCATGAATGATAACATAAAACCAAAACATGAAAATATACAACTTATATTACACTATGTGTTATGAACAAAATATAAATCTATAACTCTATGTTATATTTACATAATTATTTCTTTTATTAAATTTCAAGTGAGATGGTAGGTTGCACATACTTTGTTTTAAGCTCCAGGCATTTGATTGTCTCTATTTCTTTTCTATTTTCATTTCACTTGTAAAATCCAAAACGTTAGGAGGAGTAAGAGCTTTAGAGCCAATGGAGCTATATAAATACTGTTTCAGCAAACCAGTGACAAAAAACACTGGGGAGTAGAGAAATCAGTCAGTAGAAAAAACGAACTTGACATGTTCTTCAATCTGGGAAACTGACAAGTTAAGATAAAGTTGAAAAAATGTAAATATAAACCAAACTAAACAGCCAGCCCATGCCCTGTGAATTGAGGATACACTTGAATCCACATCTAGTGAATTACACACAGTTCTTTGCAAAATGGAAGGTATGGTTCTACCGAGAAGTGGGCAGACAAAAAAACTTCCTATCCGATACACCATGCCCTTAAAACATAAGAAATACCATATAGTTGCCATTCACTCTAGCAGATGAATTCTTGCTAAGGTCTACGTTTCCACGGAGTATAATTATTTTTGATGTTATGAACGTGATGTCAGAGGCTTCTTCGGGGACAATAACAGCTCATCTCTTTGGATTAAAAAGAAAAAGCTCTGAAAGTGTGCTGTAAAAAGGTTAAAGACAATTTACTTTCTAAAAAATGATTTAATTAAAGAGAGTCTACTGCAGTAACCAAATCTTTGAAATAATGTCTTTGAAGAAAGAATTTCTTCCATATGCACTCGTAATAAGAGGATTTGGTTACAAAACTAATTAAATGCTATAATAATAGCTAGTGTTCTTTTCTGGGGGCCTGATTAATATAGCGGAACGGTTAAATAAAGATGTTAAATGCACTTAAAAATCCTATTTTACTAATATAAGGCATGAATAAATCGAAAAAGGATATACTCTGTGTTATTTAATTGAGCTTAGAAGCAAGTGCCTCGTTTTTTTTTTTTTTCCTCTTTCTTTTCCCCCTTTCTCCACTGCTGGCGGTGTTCTTTTGTAAGCCCACAAGACGCGCGGCGCAAGGGGCTGCCCCCATGGAGAAGGGGGGTGGCCTGTACACCCAACCCCAGGCAGCTCCCCAGGAGCACCCTCGCTCTCCAGGTTCCCGGGGAAGAGGGGAACAGAGCCTGCCTTGGCATCAGGGCCTCGATGCGCTTTTAGGGTAACACGATCCTAATCTCTTCTAACCTGTTTTTTTCTACATGCTCCAGGGCACAGAACCCAGGGAAAAAAAAAAAAAAAAGAAAGAAACAAGAAAAGAAGATATTTTTATAAATGCATGTTTTGCTTTGTTTGGTTTTTTGGTGGGTTTTGCTTGTGTTTTTTTTTTTTTTTTTCCCCTAAGAAATTAAAAAGGGAAAAAACAGGGCCTCATTTTCAAATCTGGTCTTCTACTGCCGAAGGATATATGGGTGATCATCCCTGGACCCAAGGAAACATTAGCACAGGCTTTAAGTATTTTTCTGGTTTGGAACCCCAGAGCCATTTTGCCTTTTTTTTTTTTTTTTTTTTTTTTTTTTTTTTTTTTTTTTTTTTTTTTTTTTTTTTTTTTTTTTTTTTTTTTTTTTTTTTTTTTTTTTTTTTTTTTTTTTTTTTTTTTTTTTTTTTTTTTTTCTTTTTAACATTTCTGCATCGGTTTTCAACATCCGAAAGCAGGAGGTGGAGTCTGCTAAAGCCACCCTGGGGGAACCCCAGCGTAGCCTCTCGGAGGGAAACGTGCACGGTAAGGAAATCAGCGTTCAGCTGAGCCCCAGCCCAGGCCTAGGTGGTGAGCAAAGCAGAGGGCTCCGGGAGAAGGTCCTGCTGCCTCAGCTCCTCCAGCACAGGAGCCACCCTACTCACGGACACCGGGCTGCCTCCAGGAGCGGCTCCTGCAGCAGAGCCTGAAGTTGGGGATTGAAACTCAGTCCCGCCAAAGCCCAAGGGTCTCGTTCCCACTGACCCCGAGCCCACGCACCCAAGACCTGCTCCAATCACACCTGCCGCAATGGCACCTACCTGGAGCTAAAACAAAGTATTCTGGTAGCCCAAAAGTGACACAATTAAACCAGAGAGTCTCTATAACGTTGTGGAAATCAAGCATCCAGCAAATGTGAGGTGAACCCACAAGAGTCAGAAGTAATTTGTTCACAAAGACAGGGAACAAATTTAAAAGTTAAAAAAAAAAAGAAAAAAAAAGGAGGAAATATCTGTTTTTCACATTGTACATAATAATGATATAAAAACAATTGTCTATTTTTTTTTCCTTCTTATCCAAACAGAGTGCTTAAAAAAATTGGCTCTAGATGACTGGTGTAATTAAATAACTAAAATGAGTGATGAGAGAGCAGAAGTTAATTAAGATTGAAAACAACACTCCCATTAATTCACTCCATCATAATAAACATCAGAAGTTGACATGGCTGGGGCCAAAATTAAAATAAAAGGAAGAGAAATGGTGTGAGCAGAAAAAGAAGCGATTTGTTTTCATATGTATATATATATATATTTATATATATATAAAAAGGCAAGGTGGGGAGGGGTATCCATTTTAAATAGCCTAACAGCTTCATTTGCTGCACTGCCAAATTAGAACAGAATAAAATAAAGTTAAAAAAGGGGGGGGGTGTAAAATAAATTATACATAATTTACTAATCTGGGAACAGCTGACCATTATTATTATTATTATAATTACCATTACAACACTAGCAAGAAGAGGCAGTTCAACTGAAAAAACAAACCCAACACAGTCAAAAAATACAAACGAAAAGAACCCTCTCTGACATGGAGGATATGATCAGCTACTCCAAGCATAATTTCAGAGCAAATCTTCTGAGAGAGAGAAAATAGAAAAGAATTTTTCAAGGTGGAGGTGGAAAACAAAATGGGGAAAAGAGGAAAAAAAGAAACCCCAGATGTTGCAGGGTAAAACTATCACATCCAAACTGCTCTTTGGAGTATTGTCCTAAGTCTTCAATGGCATTTGCTTGTTTGCTTTGCACAAGGTCTGCAGAGGTCAAGTTACACTTCAAGTGGGATTTCAAGAGGCAAAGAAAGGCATTCCCCCCCTTCCCAGTCTCTCCTTCTACCTGCCCCTTTTATCCTGCACCTGGCTGATTGCAGCGAGGGCTAAATTGCCTGATTAGGGGACCATTTGTAACAGCAATGTTGCCAAATACTGATGACCAGGGTTCTGGTGAATGCTTAGGCTGGGATCTCACTGCCACTAAGATGCACGGGGCTAATTTTACAAATTAGAGACAATGAGAACAGCAATGGATCTCTCTCTGGGAGTAGGAATTTACCATGAAGTAACATAAATATAAAACTGGCATCCCCAGTTGTAAAATCAACTCAGAGGAAGGCTTTTGCCTCAGGACAATCCTAAGACTTTCCTTTACAGGCAATAGAGCAGTTCTGGGATAGCTGCTGGATGAAATTTGGAGCAGCGTTGATGTTCGGTTGGTCAGTTTATCTAACGCTTCTGTCTTGCTACACAAACCAGGGTCCTCTTCTCCTACAGGAATATTACAGTAAGGAGATGAAAAGAAACTCTAATTAATTTATATAATTTTTTCCCCCAAAATAAAGCATAACATTTAATTACATTATCGGAAATGCAAACTTCTGCTTAGGATTAGGCTTGTGTAATTCCACCTTCCTCACCTCGCTGTCATTGCCCAAGGAAGAAAAAACTGCACAAGCAACTTATCTAAGTGCTCTAGAACAACTCTGAAAATATTTTAGTGCAGGAGAGTAAGTTTTTCAGTTGTGAGAGGCAACAGCTGAGGAAAGTCGGCATCACAAAAGGTTTGGGTTCTTACATGCCCACTATGAATATGGTAATCTCTTCATAGCTAATAGTCTTCCTTCCTACACAAACATCCCACAGATAAAAAAGGATTTCTGCCAATGTAAAGGAGAAAAAAATGTCAGTTAAAAAAAAATTGCCTTTTGAATCAGAAATCAGTACTCAGCCATCCTAAAAGTATGAGTTCATCAAAACTGGACATGGTTGGTGGTAACCTAATCATGCTCAGCAAGTAAATAACATTTCCAGTTGCCCTGTTCTGTTCAGAACAAGTCACGTTTTGGACAAGCCTTTTTTATGTTGTTTATTATGCCACTTGAAGTGTAAACTAAAAGCAAAGGCTCTTTACAGACCAAGACATTTGGAGGGTGCGGGACTTCATTCTGGAACACGCTTTTTGCTCACAATAGTCCAAGATTATTCTTATTAGTACCATAAACACGCACACATGAAAATCCAAGACCATAAAATATTTTTTCTCTAAATTTCTTATGTCTCTCTCTCTCTCTCTCTTTTTTTCACCTGAGAATGGCACCTACAGTTTCCTTTAAAAAGCAAAACCAAAACCAAAAATATATGTCTAATCTCACCAGCTGCTGGTATATCAGGTTCTTCAAGGGATTGTCTAAGATACAACACTGTCCTAACTTAAGACAGAGCAGAAAGCAAACAAAAAGCAAAAGAAAAACAAAACAAGAAGAGACCAACCTAAAAAAAGCAAATTGGACTAGTTCAGCGCTTTAGTACAAATTTGGCACTTGCTCAAAGACTCAGTATGGTGTGCAACTGATGAAGAGAAGTCCTCTCTTGAAAGGAAATAATTGCTTGTTGGGGTCAACAGAAACAGACTCCCCACTTCCTTCCTTGCCAGCCACGCGCACAGGCACGCGCACACACGCGCACACACACACACACTTCTGACCCAGATTTGACAGGGAGGAGGGGGAGGAGGAGACAGAGGGGTTTAAAAGGAATTTTATCTTTTTTTCTTTTCCTGTCAGGTGCATTACCAAAAAAAAAAAAAAAAAATTATTTCTCTTTAAACTGTAGCACAAAACAACAAAACACATTCACAAGCCACTTGTTGGCACTGTGTACCTGAGTGAGAATTTCTAGAACATTGTAGAACAAACAGCCATAAAGTTTATTTGAAAAAAAAATAATAATAATAAAAGGTCGACGGGTAAGACTTCAGTGCTTGGGTATAGCAGCTGAATTACTGGCATTATTTTACCCATAGCTTATATCATTCTGTTGTTGTTGTTGTTGTCGTTGTCTTTGTTTCCTTTCTTCTGAGCCTTTTTTCTTCTGATGCAGGCTGATGTCTATTAGTCAGCTGATGTCCCAACTAGTTAAGACTAACAGTTAAAGTAACAGTCAGTGTATGAGAAAGTTAATGTGCTTGGCCACTGGCAAGGATAAACCAGATGGGGCTTTATTTATTTTTTTCTTTTCTCCTTGAAGTCCTGTAGGTCACGAGATATTTGGACCCCGATCAGTTGGCTTGCCCCGCAATGTGATTTTCACTGTCACTGCCATAGTCCGCATCGGGGTCATCCTCCTCCTCATCGTATTCATCGTAGATTTCTCCATTGACGTCGTCGGTCTGCATCTCCTCCTTGATATGAGGCTCCTCGCCTTTGATGCCATAAGTGCTCTGGATGACGGGCATCCCGGGCTCCGGGCTGCTGGACACGCTCGAGTGCTCCGAGGGCAGATGTGGGGAAGGCATTCCTGCCATGGCGATGGCTCCTGGGTAAACTACGCCCGCGGTGGCAATGGGGATCTGTGCTTGTTGCCTGCCATGGAGAAAAAGCAAAAGTATGTTTGAGTACTGGAAGGGGTAAAGGGAGGGCAAGATCAACAGCAAACTGCAAGCCCGTAGCATATACTCTTGGGCATGTAGAGGAAGTCCCTAGATGGCCCACGCAAGACAGCCTTTATATTGATATTCTAAACTCACCAACTGATGCTCCAGAAATGAACATCAAGCCCAAACCAACTTCACTGACAAAAAAACCCCTCTGTAAACATCTCTAGTTGTACCTGCATTAGTTCCAGCTTGCCTGCTTGTGAGGCAAACTTCTTTTCTGGGTCAACTGGGTGTCCCATGAGCTGCCAGCCAAAAATAAACTTCCTTGCAACTGTGGTCCAACTTAAAACCCATATATTTTGAAAATCTTCCTTTTAAATAACCCAATCTTCTGGCAGGACTAGACATAAAGGCAACGAATTTCCAGCAGCAGAGATCTAGCAAGGACTGGGTAAATTGCACAGGAATGGGGAGGTGCTGTGGGAAGATACCAATGGATGAGGAGAAAGCAAGGCAAGACTCTCCAAAGAGGCAATGCTTACTCCACATTCACTCTGAGACCTGGCTATTATTAGGGAGAGGAACAGTGAGCTTTCTGGGGCCAGCATGGGTTTACACGTTGAGCACTGAAGGCCTCCCACTGGAAGGTGGTAGTTTCCACTGGGAGCGGCCCTTGTGAAAAGCAGGCTCTTTGAAGGAAGAAGGATAAAATGGGGAAAAGGCAGACTTAAAACGGAAGCAGGCATTATTTAAAAATAAATAAAAAGCAAGCAAGCAACGTGAGCATTTGAGAAAATCCTCTACAGGATGCCTTTATACGGCGTCTAAGCCTTGGAAACCTGTCTGCAGTAATGAAAGAAGAATTATTCCAGGCCACAGAAATTCCCTCTGCATCAAGAACACTGGCTGTGTTATACTAGTGTTTGTTTCCCTGAGAAGCTTCAGAGTCCCAACAAGCCTAGAGGTTTAAAATTCATGCTCCTTTTGTTTCCTTGCTGCATGAAGTAATTCCATTGCAGTAATACTCTTCAGTACATGCTGCACATTGTAATGTCATCAGCGGTGTGTCCATCTGCACTGAAAAGCCTTGCCACAGGAGACAGGGCAGAGTCTCTTGAGATGAACATTCTTAATTAAGAATGAAGCCCTCCCCTGTTCCCCTGCCTGCCTGTGCCCTGGCTGTACAGTAAGCCTCGCACAGTACAGTGATCCTGAAAGACTTTCCTCTGCCAAACAGCTTTACATTTGTTTGGAATCGCTGCTGCATTTTCAGATACTTCCTGCCTGCCATTGGAGTGAGACCTCCCTCCGCACAGTCCTTATTTCTGTGTTTCTGAAACAAGTCAAAGTTGTCTCAGCAGAAGATACAGCTCTTAAAGTAGGGAGCAGATCTAATTTGCATTTTATTCTTAATTCACTAGGAAGGCTTTTGTTTTCTGGAGTCAGCATTTCTGCAACAAGATTCAGCACACTTAAATTGCTTTTAATATTTAACAATAGGAACACTTTGCACTTAAATGGTGCTTTTCAGAGTGCTTTTCAAGTATTAAATAATTTAAGAATGGCATTTTTCCACCTCTATAGGATGTCCAGCCCAGAAGTTCTTGCAGCAGTCCTCAGATACTAATGTATAAGGGCTCTCAGCAGTCCAGTGAGGTGAGCTCGCCACGCTACCCACTGAAAATGAAGACACTGAGATAGGAAAGCATTAAAAACGCCCAGTCCTTCTCATTGTGGTGCCTTCAGCACGTCCCAGCAGCTCCTGTAAACCAAATCACTTATTGTGGTGCCCAGGCAGGAGCTGGGCTGTTGTTTAGAAGTTTAGCCCTAAATGACCTGTACTGGGGGATGCAACAGATGGGGAACTAAAACCAGGAATGCAACCGTAGTGCTGTGACTGCTGGCATCACACACTGACCCCACTGCAGACATTGGCCACTTTGTCAGTAGTTTTATAGAGATTTCACCCCAGGTTCTGTGCTCCTATGCTTCAGTGCAAATTACCTCCAGAAATGTCTTGATTTCAATGTCAGCCTTGCTTGGAAAGCTAAATAGTATGCAGAATGTTACAAGGTTAATTTTTTTTCCCATGGTGAGGCATGCATGTTAACCAGATAAGCAGTGTTCTGGGGGCTCTGCTGCCACCTATTCTTTTTCCAGAAGGCCCCCCCTCTCTTTTTTTAATCTCTTGATGCCAAATGTTGGCTGACTTCCCTGTGTTTGTTTCAGTGCTTACCACTGGGATCACTGGACCTGCCAGCACCACAGGGTTAAGCAGCTCAAATTTCTCTGCTGAGCGGCTTATTATAACAATGCACACTGTAGCTGTTTTAAACACAGTCTGATGACACTTAACAGTTGCTGGACAGATATTCTCTCCTTTATTGCTACTTCTAGCCATTAACTAGAGACGTGCTACTCAGTTAAAGGATTGAAAATTCAAATTAACGGAACACAAATTTCATTATTTCAGAGGGTCACTCTTGTTGCTGCTTCTGCTGTTTTTAAAACCACCATGTAGCTTTTAATTTCTTGGGATGAACACAAAAATACTGTGGAATATCTGATTACTTCTGATTCTTTTTGACCTGCTGTAGCCAAAACCAAGAAAGGTTTCCTTCTCTGCAGAAGGCAACTACATGCTACTCTTCTAGGTAGATATTAATATAATCATATCAAGCTGATCCTTTAGCTGTTTATCAGAACTGGTCTTCTTAAAATTTATGCTCAACACAAAGCATTTAGCTTACTGCTGGAAGACACTCCCTAGTATAACAAATGCCATCACAATGAACAACACAGACAACTTCATGCATGATATGAATTAGCTGAGCCAAGTCCATATTACAGCTCAAGTTCAGTGTGTTCAGCAGTCCTTTCTGCAAACCACTTATATCATACTGAATGCAAACTTGTAATTTTGGCTTTTGGATCATGAGGCGCTACCATAGATTCATTCAGATATACTCTCTCAGGCCTCATAATAAAGTAACAGTTATAAGGGTTTATCATAAGAAGTTATGTTTCATTGGAAAATCTTAAGCTTTTTTTTTTTTTTTTTTTTTTTCAGAGTGGAAACGAGACAGTTGGCTGAGGCTTTAAGATGAGCATATAGCAGAGCCAACAAAAAGACCTAACTGCCTAACTTCCTCCTGGAATACGTTGTTTTAAAGTTTAAGCTTCATTTTCTGCTAGCAATATCCAATGTTCCTGCCAATAAACAATAACATTTACCACACTGAATTAACAATTCTCCCTGATTTACTTTTTTTTTTTTTTTAATGAAAAGAGCAGTAGTTTTTAAAGGTCCCATACCCAACATTAAAATACTGCCTCATCTCCTGGCGTCTGTTGCGCATGATAGCCTTGTACTCGCCAATGCGTAGTTTTTTGCCATCTACAAGGCAGGTACGCTTCGGCCTTGGCTTGTATTTGTAGTCTGGGTATTTCTCCAGGTGCTGTTTGCTGAGTCGGGCCTGCTCCTCATAGTATGGCTGCTTCTCTAGGTTTGTCATAGCTTTCCAGCGAGATCCTGTCACCAAGAAAAAAAAAAAATTAAAAAAAAAAAAAAAAAGAGATTCTATTCATCCCCAAACGCTGAAAGACAGAGAAACAAGTAGGTCACCCAGAACAAGATACCTACGGTCATATTGCTTTGGGCTGTGAATCTGTCAGAGCTTCTAGACAGGGGTCAGGTCTTGTTTGTATTTTACTGGTAAACCTCTTGGTTATGGCTAAGAGGCAGAGAGATGGCACTTGAAGTTTTGACTCAATATTTTATTGAAATTTATTGACATTATAATGCTTATCAGGTGGGAAGTAAAACCGTTATCTCGATAATGGGCAATCCCTGACACTTCGTTTTAGAAGACAAGGTGGCAAATTTTAGAGGAATGGCCAGAGATCCCTTAGATACATAGTCTGCTCTGCTACGTCCCCACACTTTCCCTTGGCCATGGGCCTGTTTTCACCTCCTCTCCAGAGGAGGCACCGCTCCAGTGCTGCCCACCTAGTCACCGTGATCCACCAAGGCATGAACTCAGGATATGCACATGTCCACAGCTTCACTGTTCATGACAATATCAGATCTTTCTGGCTTCCATGTTTGTAAGAAGTAGAATATGAAGTGATCTAAAATGCTATGCAGTCAGCTACAGGAGCCTGTAAGGACCCTGAAGCAATGACTCTAAAAGCTATAAACTATCCCATATGTCTCATCAGGGTTTTAACTTCAAGACCAAGTCCTGGGGAACGCTGCCAGCTCCAGCCTAAAGAATTTAGTGTGTGTCAGGAAGGGAACAGCACTGGGATACTGGCACACCTCTGTGCAGAGCTGTACTATGGCTTCATTGCTGGCAGCCTTGTTTTCTGCCTATGTTAATGTGGATCTTTGAGCTAGGGATATAATGAAGACTTTGCAGTTGTTTTCGAATACCTCCTGAAATATTTTTCTTCAAGGACACAAATATGAGAGCTGAAAGTAAAACTTCTTGAATCAGTTACCCTATTTTATTTTCCCATGAAATACAGAAGTGCTTCAGGCTAAGGTACATTTCAAATAACAGGGATAGTCCAAGCTGTGAAACATGTGGCCCAGAAGGAAAACTTTATTGGAAAATAGTCAATTTTCCCATTGGAAAAAAAGTTTGAATAGTTTGTCAATGTAATGGGTTCATAATGTCATATCTCATACTTGATTTCCTCTTGTTCTTCGTTTTTATGGTTACTCATACTGTACTTAGCTCATGCTATTACTCAGGCTGGTCTTAGCTCACTGTGCCCCCAAGACTTGCAATATAGACACCACAGTTATCCCTTCCCAGGAAAGAAAACAGTTTCATTCCCTCAAGAAAGTCCTCTTCTGATTATTGACACCCTCTTCCCCATTGCTCTTTGAATCTTTATTCCATGCTGCAGTTTGGGCTTTTAGAGAAAAAGTCTGGTACAGCCTGACCTCACACCTAGAGATAAGTGACTGGTCCTGGAATGGGAAGCAGTTTAATGACGTTGTTATTAGCTTAGGCACAGCACCATACCAGCATGACTAGATGGCTTCTAGGATTTGGACTGAAACTCCTGCGTGGCTCCTCGTGTGCCCTACTGAGGTAGTGTCTGAACGTGGGGATCTGTGGCAGGGCTCTGTATTACACAGAGCAGCAAAGCTCTGTGGACAGAATCCTTGTCTCCCGCAGAGAAATTATTCCAAGCTTTTTCTGGCAAAGAGGGTGGCTAGAAAAAGTGACACCAACTTTCCACATACAGTACCTCCTAGATTTTGGGCTAAATGACACAGTGGTAAACAGGTGGGGACTGCCCAAACACTGCACACCTTCTAATGCCGCAGAAGATGGAAACACAGATCAGGACTGTGTTGAAGGATGTTAAGATTTCAGGATAAAACATTCAAGCTCCACTGGAAGATGCCCAGATGTGGTTCTACTTTCAAATTCTACCTCACAGACACTGGCACACTGGTGTTTCAGCATACAAAGAAAATCATAGCAGTTAATCTAAGGCTAGAGTCCTCTAATCACAGACCTGCAGAAATTCTAGTGGCTTAGAAAACCTGTCCCAGCTCCTTTTCCTGCTGCTGAATCAGTTTTTATTTATGAATAGAAAAGCTGAAACCCTCAGTCTTTAAACAAATCTTGACATTTACTTAAGATGCTGGTGAAGGGATCTGCAATGTAGGAACTCAGACATATTCTGAAACAGACAGATGGACAGAAAGGTAGAAATTAAAGGCAGTTGTTGCAAAATTGCCATGAAACTGCTCTATTCCAGCACAGTTCCTCTTCTGCTGCGTTAGTTCACTTGCTGCTATCCTATAGTCAGATCTGGGCAGTCAGATTCCTACCTCCTCATGTGAAAAGATCCATAAATAGTGGGTGAAGTTAGGCAAACACACAAGTCTTTGCAGGATCAGGGCCATAAAAAGCGAAATTTTGATGCATAATATTTGTACATACAGTTACACATATAATATTTATACATAAACGTCATTTGTTATGTTTTTCCTTCCCGAGCTGCAAACTGAATACAACAAAAATCCTGGCAGTTTTACCTCTCTTCCTAGCAAATTTTTAATATCTGCCTTCTGCAGTGATACCTCCTCTTACTATGACTTCAGTGTTTTTACAAAATATACTAAATATAATTTACTAGTATGTTTTGAAGTATCATACATAATTAAACAATGCTGTCATTTTAAAAATTTTTAAAAAAGGGCAATTTTCTATTGATAGACCCTTGTTATGTACATTTTATCATTTTCACTTCTTCTCTTAGTCATATATACATAATCCAAACAGCTCTCTGATTGGTCTAAATCTGAAATTGTTGAAGTTTGAAATTTTTGAAAAGTTTGAAGAATACATAACTCTGAATTTGCAGCCACAGGTTAAGCTATGAATGAGTACTGCCAATCAGCATACTAAAACTGGTTAAGAATACCTTATGTTTAGACAAAATACATTTGTAATAGCTTTATCTGTCTATGTTTTATGTGTCTATAAACACACACAGGCAGGCAGGGGTACCTATGCACAGTACCAAACCCAAACCCAAACAAGGTATGATTGAAGAATCTTGAAAATCATCTTTCTTTTTAAGGGAAGATTTACACTCTTGGGTGAGCTTTCCACTCACCATCTGTGCTGGAAAGCTTTGAGTGGGTCAAGTATACAATACTTTTTGCCTTGACTATGAAAACAAGAACCCATTCCCCTCTCTGGATGAATACATAATGACAAGCAAGATTCTTGCACAACTCTCCCTGATCTGGCGGCTGAAGTATTTAGAAAAAGAAAAATTAAAACATTTACAACACTTCCAAGTACCAAGCATGGCTACTACCCCCAAAGTGAGGTAGGGCAGTTAGAGCTGTGCTCACACAGCTGTGTGTGACTGTGAACACGTCTGGAGAGGGCAAATATTAGAATCCAGGGCAGAAATGAGATGCCCTCATGTATGCCCAGACACTTGTGCTCAGGCACACACGTGCCTGCACGTTCAGAGCTCTGCTTAGCGCTGATTTTAAGCCAAGTTTCTCTGACAAGGATTTTCAGCTGTTTGCAATATTCTCTAACTTTCAGTCCATTAGACTGACATTTTTCAATCTGAGTACCTGATTCAGGCTGAGTTTTTGTTTAATAAATACCCTCACATACACAAATATTTGTATAATTTATAGGTATGTATATAAGTTTGTATTCTCATACATTCTGAGAGAATTTCCGAAGGTAGTGTTTAACTTAATTGTTTCCTAATATCTTTATGTAGATTTCTCAGCGAAATTAATTAAAATATTTACAAAAAAGATCTAAACAATGCATTATTAAATTGATAGGGTCCAGCAGACCCATTTTAGCACTTTTTTAACAATTTACTAAAAAAAATCATTATCCACAAGTTTAAGTTGCAATGAACAGATGGATGACAAACGTATGCACAGATGAATTTAGTGACAAATCCGTGTATCTAATTTTTATGCTCAAAACATAATACCACAGTGTCAAACATAATCCCTAGAGAATTCTAGTGCTGGGAAGGGCACCTCCTCTCATTTTACTATAAAAATGACCCTCCATCAGTGAGAACTCTATCTAAGCTGCTCTCTGTGACAATGAGCTCTCTGACCTCAATGTGTAGCAGTACTGCTGGAAAAATGAGAAAGAAAAATTGCGGCTTTCTAATAAGGAGACCCTAATATCTGGTTGAACTGTTAGCTTCTACTTGCTCACCCTACGCCAGTTAACAGACAGTTCCCTGCTGACTTCAAAAGACTGGCCTTTTGCAATTGAGGGAGGACCTTTGTAACGTTTCTGTCAAGAAGGAAGACGTCAGGACATCCCTCTCCATTGCAGAGGTAGAACGAAAAAATTAAATGTGACGCTGGAAAGAAATAGAAACATCATCTCTCACTGCTTCAGACCTTGCTTTTCCCCATATCTGGCAGCAAAACAGAAAGAGTTTGGAGTCAGCTATACTGTCTGTCACCTCAACAGGATCTGTAATGAATTTGCACATTTTACTCCAACTACTGTATATCTAATCAGAAAAAGATGTCCCCATATCTCCCTGATCTAGCGCCAAATAGTAAAAGGTGATTCCTTATGTTAACAATTTCAGCAGAATGGCTTATTAAAACCAGATTTTAGGGTATTATAAAATGCTTAGAAGCCCTTTAAAATGTCAACCAGGATCCCCAGAGACTGCGTAAAATGTCAGCCCAGCTCAAGCGCCTGTTTTAAGCAGAATGAATTAGCAGCGTGCTGTCGGAGGTTGTTATCCAAAACAATCAGTTAAGAGGGAAAACATCAAGCTCTCTTTGTACTTTCTATATGAAAAGGGCCATTCAGAATGATCTTGTAGATTTCTGAAGCTGATTATTTAAAAACAGGTTTAACCAGGTCTACTCTCAATTTAGAAACAGACCAAAACTATTACTGCCCTGTCCTCCAGTTAATCACATCATACACCTCTGACCAGTATAATCCCTTTTAACCAGTATAAGGTTATTTTACCATCAACCTAACCAATTTAGCCTTCTAATCCTGTTCCCATAACTAATCTAATCATCTTGTACCACCCTTTAAATCATGGGTTAATATCATCACATCTGCCATCCACAGCAATACATTCTGCCTCTCCAACCAATTCATCTCATTTCCACTTACCCCCTGCTGGCTTTTCATAATATCACTCTCATCAACAGAAGCCTCAAACCTCTCACCAGTCTAAACTCAGCCTATTTACCAGATCTGCAGCTGGTTAATGCTGCCATTACATTTCTCGAGTAGTCTGCAAAACCACTGAGACCTGCAGCCCAGGTAAACATGTTCTCTGCTTAGCCACTGGCCTGAGGGGTGCTTAGGTCCTGTAACAGTTTTTCTCAGTAAAAATTCAACATCTCTAATTTGGTCACAGATTTTTGTTGTTGTTGTTGTTGTCTCCCAAACAGTAATTCATGGGCCTCAGTGAGCCTTATTAGTCACCTGCTGTATCATTCAGCATGTCACAGAGGAGTGACTCTGGACAGAACACGGAACTGAGAATCTGAGCAAGTAGTGAAAAGTTGGAAGACTATGGCATGAGATTCAGTAGATGACGTTCATCACAAATATTACCTGGAATGTAAAGAGTAGAGGATACGGAAATTAGATCTGATGTTTCTTTTCTTTTTAATTTCAGGGTTCTTATCAGACTATAGGAGAATGAAAAACCACCCACTGTAGGAGAAGCTTCAATTTTAGAACCTAAAGGTGCACAAGTATATGGGACTTGCATGTCCATGGGTCCTGAGATGCATCTGCAGGTCCTGAGAGAACTGACAGGTGAACTAGGGCTACACTGCTGGTGGATAAGGAAGAGTGACCAAGGTCATCTACCTGGATTTGTGCAAAGCATTTGATACTGTTCCACGTGACATCCTTGTCTCTAAACTGGAAAGACATGGATTTGATGAATGGACCCCTCGGTGGATAAGTAATTGGCTGGACTGTCACACTCAAAGAGTTGTGGTCAGCAGCTTGGTGTCCAAGTGGAGACAGAAAGTTCTGCGGCACAAATCAAATACTGTAGTGCGCTACCTCAGAGAAACTAGTTAGATGAAATACATAGGCAAATAAATGACAGCAGTTATTCCGTGCTTGTTCAACAGCCTAATGAAATAAACTGGTTTTGTCTATTCAGTTCATGTTTTCAAACCAAAATTACCACCACAATCTCAGTAATTACAAAGACACAAGAAGATGTCAGGTTATGCTTAATGTACGCTACTGGGTAGCACAGCTGGAAGCTCATATCCCTGTTGTCCTTGGTGCAGTGATGAAGTTGCAAAATAGAGAGACAGCACTTCTGTTGTTTCAGGTTCTCAGCTCTATTTATTCAAAATATTTTTGAGTTTTGCTCTGAAAGAATAGTGCTCTATCACTCTTACCTAATATCTTGCTGATGTTGGAGTTGTGCATGTCAGGGAAGGCTTGAAGGATCTTCCTCCGCTCATCTTTAGCCCACACCATGAATGCATTCATTGGGCGCTTGATATGGGGTTCATTGCTACCACGCCCTCTGGATTCCCGATAAATTCGAGACTCTGAGACTCCTGCACTTCCTAAAAAGAAAGAGAAAAACATTCCCAGCTTGTTTTTCATTACGCAGCTCCCTCTGCCATTAGTAATCCATGTCAGGTGCTGCACATTCAACGAGTCCATGTTCAGAATAGGTTAATGGTAAATACACTGCATATTGTTTAGTTTTATTCTATTAATTCAGTATCACATAGAATAGACCTGATGAAGAGTTTAGACTGGTTTTTTTTCAATACAAAGCATTTAACACCTTTTCTAAACCATCTTTTGCTGCTCAATAACACAAAGCCTATATTTAACAATGTAGATTTAACTTTCTTCCTTTCTTGCTTAGAGAATGCATATGTTACCAATCTTCTACCTTTTTTGTGATGGAAAGGGGGTAATATATGGCAACATCAGGCATTTTTTCTTAAGCAATTCTCTAACTAGTAAATAAATACGTTCATATCTGCCTGTTTTTGTGCTGACATCTCCATAACAATACATGCAACAGCAGAGAAACAAACAAACATTATGCTTGCTTCATCATACCAATTAAGTTCCCACAGATTCAGAGCGTCCAACACTTATGGAGGATCAGGTCTATACTTTAGGGATTCCCTGTGTGATCTCGCTTATAACACATACATTTGCCAGCTTTATTCCCTTTTACTATCAGAAATACATTTTTGGTCCCTTCTCAAGACCTTCAGTGCACAGAGAGAAGGCTAAAAACCACCTCCAGACTTAAAACGCCCCATGAGGAATCACTTTTTCCTGCCTTCTTTCATAGCCGCTTATTGCTAACTGCTCACAGGCCTCCAAGCACTTGGATTCTCCCCCAGATCCCGCTGATATCCACAACACAAACCTGGAAATAAGGATAAGCCATTTGTACTGACCGTCAGAATCTCCACTCATGTTGAAATCCATCATCGCGTGGCTGAACTTCCCGTCTTCACTCTGTTTTACTGCCAACTGCTGAGTCAGGGTCTCCAGTGTTGTTTTGTCCTATATGGGCAAGATGACGGGATTTGGATCAGGAAAATAATTAAACATTGCAATTGCAAAGTTCATATGTGATTTAGAAGGTTGATAGGGAAGCTGGATAACCCTTCACAACAGTTTACTGAGCCAGGTATTTAACAATACATAATAATGTTTTTTCTGGAAAAGACATGGTTGCAGACTCTTCCATGAAGTCCTTTTAAAAACTTGCTTATTAGCTAGTGATGAGCAAACTCCATGGTGTTGAAAAGATTGGTTAGCTTGGCATGATAAAATTGGCTCCACATCTGAAGAATATTTCAACTCTCTATGTTCCCGGGACAGCAAAGCTGGATTCGAAGTTTAGATGATACACACTCTTTTGCAATGTATTTATTGTTTTACTCTATTTCCAGCCTGCAATCAAAGTGCAGGGACATGCACTTTCCTTTTTTTTTTTTTTTTTTTTTTTTAAGGCAGTATTTTAGGAAGCAGCCCATAGGGGAAAAAAAACCCACCCTGCAGTTCGAACTTATTCAGGTCTTGGGAAAGGGTCAGCCTGAATTAAGCACGATACTTGGGCAGCAGTTTGTATTCTCGTCCAGACTGTTTTGCCCAACCCTACTAACACCCCGTCCGTCATTCATCTAGTCAGAACTAACTGTGAACCCTGGATTGCAACAGGCTAGTGTGTGCTGCCAATTAATCTGTCAGGCTGCAGTGGTGTCTAAAGACATTGCCAGAACAACATGCCAGGGCCATTAATTCCAATGTTCTCTTCAAAACACCTCGCTTCCCTCTGAATTGTTTGACTTTACAAATACAAAGGTGTTCCATTTTCCAACTGTTTTTGTTTTCCCAACGACTTTTGCTCATAAACATTCTATCTTCCTGACAATCATATGTTTAAAAATAAATCTTTCAGGGAAGCAATACTAACATTTCAAAATGTTAGGCACTGTGCCTTTTGCAAAGCTAAGTAAATGACATTATACAGCATGATAATAAAGTGGCTCCAGTTGAAAAAATTCTTTTGAGCTTCTTCCTGAAAGAAAGATTACTGTTTCCTTGCTCTATTCCAGTCCTGATGACTGTAAAAGATCAATAAACTAAAAAAACCATTCAGATTTCACATGGCAACCAGAGACTTTGCAACTTCTATGTAGCCTAGTAATGTCACTGGGTTATGTTACTGAAGAAAACAGAACAGACAACAATGCGAATACAGAAATGCTTCCTGCGATGTGATGTCCCTGCATCTGCAATTCAAAGAATGGTTCAAATTCATGAAAGTCATTGAAGAAAGATTTTCTCGAGAGTGTTAGAAACAAGGCTAATCTGCTCAACTCTGTATGCTCACAGAGTTTAGGGAATATGAGGTTAACTTTCCTACTCCTCACACTCTTTTTGTTGCAGACCCCTTTCACACTCCTGTGTATACCCTGACGCATCACCAGGGGAAGTGTGCAAGATGAGTTATCCTCCTGTTTTTTTCAGGAAAAGCTCATGCAGCGGAGTCAGCCTATCACAAGCAGAAGGGTTTCCATAACACTACCAGGCACTGAGATCTAGAAAGTTTGGAGAAGCTTCGAATAAGCATCTGAACTAGTCAGGCATTTAGCTTTACCAAACTCTTTGATCAACTGGTTTTAACTGAGCTCTCATTTCCAAAGCAACCTGTCAGCAGTCAGAAAGTCAGGAGTAAGCTGACCTTGTATTTCTTCCAAATGGATCACAGATATATCACGGAAATCAACTGTTTTTCCTCGGGGGGGGGGGGGGGAATCTATTTACCATCAACTTCATAGTGCTAGAGTTCAACAATTTTTATGTCAGAAATCATTTTAAAATGCTGCCACCAACCTAAAATATAAAAGAACATTCCCCCTTTTTGGGTATGTCAAGGGGGAGGGGAGTTATTCCGTTGCAGACTTTTCTGGAATCACGCACAAACCTCTTAGAGAAACAGCCGAGAGCGCAAAGGGCACAGGCTTAACAGCTTTCTCTTTATGCAGTAAACGCAGCTCTTGAAGTCGGAGGCAGTTACATTCAGAACCACACTCCGCCGACATGATCTGATTGAGTCTTAAGGTCAGTGAATACTCCGGCACGCTGTCTGCAAGGTACGCACCAGGTACGGCTCGTTTATCAGAGTCTGACTTAACAAGCCTACAGATGCTCTGCCGCTATCCATCTTAGGCAAAGTTTCGCATTTTGAGGTACAGCCGCATCAGAGGTAGTGAGAGAGCACAGGCGTGATGGAAGAGGGGCTGTGAGGGAATGCCAGATGAGCGCTGAGCTCCTGGAATGCTCTGCACAGCCCCGCGCTTGGAGATGGCTCTCCAGAGAACTGAAACACGGGTGAGTAGGGAGACCACCCTTTTAACACAGGGACAGTTTCACTCCCTGCTGCTTCAACATAGGGAATGACAATACAATTTGATCAGCAGGGATGACGTGGCAGCTAAAAAGAACTCCTCCATGATGTTGCTCTTGAAACAGGAAGTCAAAGCAGCCAGTTGTACTTTTATGCGTTGATGTTTAGAAATGTTTAAGTCTAAAAAGTATAGAGGCAATAATAAGTCTGTTCTTTCCTGAGCCTCTGCAACAGCACTTCTCCTATGAGGAAAGGCTGTGACAGTTGGGATTGTTCAACAAGGAAAAGAGAAATCTCTGGGGTGACCTAATTGTGGCCTTCCAGTACCTGAAGGGAGCCTACAAAAAAGATGGAGAGAGACTATTTACAAGGGCCTGGAGTAACAGGACAAGAGGAAATGGCTTCAAACTGCGAGGGAGTAGATTTAGATTTGATATTAGGAAGAAATTCTTTACTGTGAGGGTGGTGAGGCACCTGTGGAGGCAACTGTGGATGCCCCATCGCTGGAAGTTTTCAAGGCCAGTTCAGATGAAGCTCTGAGCAACCTGATCTAGTGGAAGGGTGTCCCTGCTCATGGCAGGGGCGTTGCAAATAGAAGATCTTTAGGATCCCTTTCAACCTAAGCCATTAAAAAAACATGCCAAAAAAACCCCAAATCTGTCCACTCAAAACCCCCTTAAAAACAGAATGAGGAGAGCAGAAAGAGATCAGCAACACCCTGGCAGGATTCAAAAGCCTGACTATACACAAGCAGCATTGTGATTTTGTGTCCTACGCTCTTTCCTTTAAACACCCTGCAGCTGATTTTCCCAATTCTGATATACTGAAACACATTCATAATTCCAAAATATTCAAAAGGGGCTAAGCAAAATTCCCATGCTGTTTTGCCTGAAAGCACTTGGTTGATGACTTACTGCTTCTCTTTTGATTGAAGCATCTCTTTACCTTTACTACAGAGTCTTCTAGTTTATGGAGAAGTATTTATGGAACCTCTGAGAAACAAAGGAAAAACTTATTTCTTCCCTGATCCCAAATAAACTGGCAACCTGCTGACATTGCTATCCTAGCCTCCTCTCACAGAATCATAGAAAGGTTTGGATTGGGAGAGTTCCAACCCCCCCAACATAGACACCTATATAAGAACTTCAGACAAGAATTCCACAATGATTTAAAGTTTATATAAAACTAGGAACTATTTATTATCACTATCTTAATTCAACAGCAAATTACGTGTTCTCAAAACTGCTACCACTCCACTGTGTAAACAGCAGCAAGCTGAGGCACCATCCAGTGATAACAGGTGGGTACATGCATGCTGGGCTCAGCAGAACACCCCTTTGCTCCAGGTATGAAATAATATTCATCCTGGGAAAAATGCTCGAGTGGCATCTACTGCAGCCTAGCACCGATAGTTCCAGGAAGAGCAGGCAAGGTTGGACCAAACCCAGGAAAGTGGTGTAAAGAATTGCTTGTGAGACCTGCTAAAAATCAGACAGAACAAAGCAGCAAAAATAAACAGCAAGAAACACTTCTGCTCTTGCAGGAGCATAAACACAGGGATCTCGCTAAAGATGAAGTGATTATTTTCCTTCTGAATTTCTGAATCTTGTACCAGACCTCGGAAGACTGAAAGACACCTTATAAACATCTTTTTTTTCTATGAAGGACTTCAGCAGAAGTGAAATGACTATCCTAATGGTCATTTCTATGGGATTGTGGGAGAGACTCCCTGCAGAGGCTGTTGACTGGATCATTTAAAATTCTAATGGGCAAACCAGAGAAGATATAATACTGTGGAGAGCAATCAAACCCACAATAGCCCAATTGTTCAAAGTATAAACAGAGAAGTTTCATCAATAGCCACAATGTGATGAGAAGTTCCTAAAACTTTATTAATCAAAGAAATTCATCTGCCAGAGAAGACTGATTTGTACCACAGCTCCTGGAAACGTTCTAATTATATTTAAAAGAACAATGAAAAACACATACGCACATGGAATGTGTCATGTAGAAAAAAATATATAAAAAATGACTAAGCACCACAAGTCAGACTCAGTTTTGTGGTCAGCTGCAAAAGTTACTTGGCTCTCTGTCATGGATAGCTGTCATAGTTTAACAAAACATTGATCTAAAAATGACAAGAACTTGGTTGCAGTCTCTTTCATAGAAGAAACATAAAACAAGAAGAGTCAAAACATATGTAGAACAGCCTGACCATGTTTGCCAGAACTCCTCCCACTACTACACAAGAGTGAAGTAAAACCTTGGAGGGCCTGAGAAATAGAGACATTCTGATATATTTACCTACTCCCCTCCGGCCTCACTGCTCCCATCTTGTACTGGATCACGGTCCCAATGCTCAGGGTGCACCTGAGACCATGAACACGCCTCCACTCCTGAAGGACTCCACAGTTCTTCCAGAATACTGTGAATGTTGGGCATATGGCAATGGATCCCTCCTCCCCCTCTTTGAGACATCCTTTTGGCTGGGGTATTTGGCAAGCACTGACGGTACTCTGAACTCCGTTAGAATTGTATTTTGGCAAGAGCTGTTTTTCCGATTGCATAATTCAAGGTTAGCAGTTTCAATGAAGCAGTCCACTCTTCACTATGCTACTCCCCCCACCCTACCCCCATTTCCCCTGAC